TTAGTTTCGATTCGATGTTGAGAAAGTATATCTTTTAATGGATTTCATATAATTTATACAAATTACCGGTATGTTAAACGTTTGTATTAAAAATGCAACACATAGTACCATCTTAAAAAAAACTTTTTCAATGTAATTACCCAATTTCTTTCAATATGGACAAATGGTTTTTGAATTCCGTGTTTATTATTTTCTCGCATTGGAAGGAAACATGCCGAAATAAAAGGTTTGTCTTTAGCCGCATTGAAATCAGCAAAGCTGTTAGTTAATTATGTATTTATTATAATATTTTGAATTAAATTCTTGTTGAAAAAAAAAAAAAAATGGAGAAGTTCCTGGCTATTGTAAATATGACGTCGGTCACTTAATTAAAAATAATGTACAGTGTAAATAATATCCGTTAATTCCACATGGTCAGCGTTTTTATTTGCGGTCGTGCTAGGTCGACTACTGGTTTTGTTTGTGTAATAAATATTTTATTATTATACAGTGATAATTTACAACGGTGTAGAATAATATCTGTTCAAAAATATAGGTTTGATACCTACACGTGTGACTACACTTTCGGGCTAATTATGTTTGTTTTAGTAATATGAATATACCTATGCTTGGTAAATTGTGTACGTTTAATGTACAGAATCAATTTAAACAATAATAAATTTATATACTATAATAATACAGGTAACGATTATTCGACTCAAATTACAAGGTTACGAAATTATTTTTTATTTTTTAAGAGGCTTTCGGACAATTTGGTCGAAAACGATCCATACTGGCCATAAAATATACATATCCTACAAAAGCATTTTTCTCTATACTCTTTTGTAATAATTTGAAATTTTAAAAACAACAGTCACCGAGTTGTCAGCAAACCCGTTTAATAGTACATAATATTATAATTGTTTAGAATTTAGATAAATGAAGTGATATATTGAGCCGTGCATAATCATGATCATGACCATCGTGTATAGCTGATCAACACATGCTTTGAAGGCCTATGATGCCATCATGAGATGGTTTTTTGGTGAATTCGCTTTTTACGGACGTTAGTAGGTACATAGGGAACCATATAAAATCCAGGAATGTATACTCTACTATTATAAAGTAAATAATAAAACACTTATACATTTGTAAGTCTTTATGATGAAAGTTATATAATTTCATAAAAATGAACACACACCCATAAACTTTAATATATTTTGTCAACATTTTGAAGTCATCTCTTTAATCGAAAATGGTGCTGGGACTGCTTTTGCCCTTTTTAGGATAATGTCATATGTGCCATTTGAAAAATATAATTCGATTATATATGACAAATTCATTCGATATAGTGGCCACTTAAGGACTTTTTGGCACAAATATAATTTTATTGAGGCGATGTTATTGTCATTAGGTTTAAATTGACGAATGAACTACAAAAATAAATTTGATTTGTTTCTAAGTCAATTTAAATGTTGATTGTTATTAAAAAAAGTATAGATTACGAACTTCCATTTAACGGAATGTTGTATTGAACGAAATATTTCAAGGAAATACACAATTCTCCTTACAACGAATTTCATATCTCTACATAACGAATAAACGGCTAGCTAGCAAACCTGTTTATTTTTAGTTCCTTGTATTTTCTCTAATTCTGGAGAAAATAAAGACGAATATGAAGGCGAAGAGGAACCACCAAAATCCACAGAAGAAGAAATACTGAATGCATTTACTGACGTAGAATTTTTTTTTTAAAACTACCAAATACCAAACAATTAAAACTCGGTGATTATTTTGATAAGAATAAGTATACATGTTTATTTTGTAAAATTATGTATTGTAATCGATAAAATAAAAAAATAACATTTAAATTCTATTCGACGAATATCTCTATAATACGAATTTGTTTTGTTCTCCTTGACACTTCGTAATATACAGAGAATTAGTTCCACTGTATATATAAGTACATATATATTATAATTATAAAATGCATCTTAGTAGTTAGCCTTACCTGTTTTTTAAAATAAAAAATATACGTATTCCAGATGCGGAAGGGTATTTTGAATTATGGCGCGAAAATGTTTTCAAAACACGGACGGCGCGTAAAAAAGTTCGGACAAACGATAGCGATTTTTAACCGGTATATATCTTTTTCAACATAAAGAAAATTCTTTTGAATTGGACGGATTGCTGGATTGCTACAAACGGTTGTATGTTTTGTCGCAATGTCATTGAGGAACTCAAATTTCAATTATTCAACGACAAACGCGAAACACTCGATGTCTATCCGACGCGTTGGCCACGACGACTATGAGACTAGTTTTCCGCGCACGCATTGACTTGACCGCGTTCTCTCGTTCTAGCCGCCTCTTACTGCTTCAGCCATCTCGCTAGCTCACTCTAGCTAAGCGAATTAACCGCCAAACGCCGCCGCCGCCGCCAAAGACCAAGAGGAGGAGAAGGCGAAGCTGGAGGGGTCGCCCGAAGTCTGGTTCCCGGTCGGTGGCGGCCGTACGCTGTCGTCGCCGTCGCCGCCGTTGTGTACCTATTCGGGACTTGTTCAACCACCACCGCCGCCATCGACGACCATCATCTACGGATGGATAAGTCGCTTCTTCCTCTTGCGCACGTACCATGGGTCAACGGACCCATAGGACACCAGAAAGACTCCTCACGGGGCTACCGGAATTGCGCAAAACAAGGTCGACGGAACTCCGTTAGGAGGGAGGACGACAACTTGCAATACATTACAGTCCACACCCAGTTGGCGGCAACTCACAAAATTCAAATATTACTCATGCTACTCGTTTGTGTTACGTACGTGCGACCACAAGACATCGTAATATATTATTAGGAAGCCCAATGTAATGATGATATTAGTTATTAAAACCGTTACCTAAACCGTTTATATTACCTAAGCGCCGAACGTTCGGTTTGATACATACCAAAATAATAATAATATTAAACAAATCTAATAAGTCAACACTACAATTTATTGTTAGATTTTACGATGAAGTATGTAGTTTTTTGAATGACGATAAAGGTGACTAGGTCTATAGGAAAATATTTCCTGAAACATGGGTGTAGACAAATTCGTTATTCTAGCCATATAAAAGTCTTAGAAATATTCTTTTAGATTCAATTTTATATTGTAACTTAAAGTTACTTAAAAGTCAAAACTTCGATTTTTTCGAATTTTTTCAATCATAGACATCTAAGTACTAGCATCGCATTTTTCAAGACTTAATATATTACCAACTACCATCTATCGTTTACTTTTGTAAATCCAGATTTTGAAATTTCTCTCTATTAGTGGATAAAAGTAGATTAGTAATAAAATAATATAAAATAGCGCCGAGAAGATCCCGTTTCACGTTTGCTACCCAGTTTCCTACAGTAAGCCACTTTTTGCTACAAGGTATCCTACAATAAGCCACTAAGTCTTGTTATTATTTATAAATTTAAATAAAGTGATGTGGCCCTCTCGGAATTAAAATCATGTGGTAATCTGGTAATGTGGTAATCTAACAATTTTCCTCGAACCTAACAAAAATGTACCTATTGGCTCTTAAAGGATAATTTAGTTCAACCTGAGTAAGTTTCGGATACATCCACAGTTAACCATGTGGATTCTTTAATAAGGACAAAAACGCCTTTTTGTCAGCTATTAAGGATCTACTTATGACTTATTAGCTTAACATTATGCCACCAAATAACTTCTGAAAGTTAATATTTAAAACTACACTTACAAAATATAATAATTTTAACTTTTACATGATTAACTTTTTTTTGTTTATTCAATATAATAAATACTGTATTTAGAACTTTTTTAAGTTAAACAAATATTTCATTGAACATATTACTAAGTAAGCATGATAATTAAACAAATATTTAATGACATAGTTGTACTGGGTAAACAATTTAATAAAATACGTAAGCTAGGAATTTGCAAAAAGATAACTCAAAGGGTAAATATTTGAATCGGTCTTTTCAAAAGCGACATAAGTCACCGATTTTTCAATTTAATAATTATGTACTTAGTTACGTATTCTGTGTGAAAATTAAATTTGTCACTCATTTTTAATACAAATGTTGAGTACAAGAAATTAGAATCACTGCAAAAACTAGTTATGAAGTTATGAAGTTTTTTGTGGCTAGCGTAAAATTTCAATTTTGTGACTTGTCGTTTTTGAAATGACCGATTCATTTATAAATATCAAAGGATTTGTTCTTGATTATCCAGTATTATATCATAGTTCATGGCCACCAACCAAAAATCCTAGCCACACCACATTGTCTGTCATTATCTGAATTCTAAAGTCCCTTCTCTAAATAACTAGTGATTATTGCAATTATGATTGCACTCATTAATTGCCATTTAAATCATACATAATAACAGTTTAATAATACCTACAGGTTTCAACAATATTTTACCCAAAGAACAGCGACATTTGTTTATATTCAATTTGATTTGAACATTTAACATTCTATATTTATCATCATGAAGCTTAGGCCAAGTACGCTCCTATCATGATTTATGAGATGGTTTGACGAATTCGCTTTCCGTTAACATTCTATATAAATCAAAAAATAAAGTAAAAAGGAATATGAAATAAGATTTGCATTCGACATTCACAAAAATTAAAATTAAAAAACATCATTATAAGACACCTTCTCGCATCGAACGCCGCAACTGAAAAGTAAAAATAAGTAACCACTATATTATCGTCGTTTTATTTTTACATTTATAGATAAAACATTAAATATTATTTTTATATTTTATCATTGATTAACTACAAAGTTAAGTATTTAATCAATGGTTATTAAATTTTAATTTTTGTTATATAATGCAAAAACTGTGTGCAAACAATGCAAACGAGCCCGCCAAAAAATATGCTGTATCGACCACGGTTGCGGTTACCGGGATATTTCTTAACCTCTCATAGCAACAGCTGGTATTACAGTAAAACGGGCAGTTGTGTTATTGTTTTTTTTCTAATCATCAATTTTTCCTCTACTCATGCGCACCGCTTTGCCAAGTGCTTTTACATTACGTTTCGGTCTGCGTAAAATTCTCTCTATCGCTCAACTAGCAATCGTGACGACAGAAGACTATCTATCATACTTATTCACGTTTTCGGCTTTATTGTTTAGTCAACTTCCGTTTAAACATCCCTGTGGGGTTTAAATTGTGTTTGTGTCTGGAACTGTGCGAACCTTTGATTCGTCATCGACGCCGTTACAAATTACAGACTACAGTGACAGCCGTTCATTTGCGCGCTGCCCGATTGTTAAGCACAGATTATCGACTTTTACCTGCTCTTCCGACTATACAAATCAGAATGTCGTCTAAAATTGAACAGATATTGGTCATCGAACCGCCACACGAGCTCAAATTCAAAGGTTAGAGCTTTTTTTGTGCAATAATTATAGTTATGTTGTGTAGGTAGCCTATAAACATATCTCGATGAGATAAGCATTTTCGAAAATTTATTGAGTTAATTAGCTGTAGTTTATTTATTTAACTGTCGTTTTAATTACATCAACAATCATTAAGCATTAAAATTGTACTTTATTGTGTATTGTGGGTGTAAGCCTAAAAATTACAACCGACAGATTGAGTACCTTTTTGCCATTATAATACTTCTATTCGTTTATTACCATATGGTACAAATATGAGCTTATATGCCTTGTAAGTTGTATGACACTCAATACAAATTTGATTAGAATTGTTGTATGTCTATTGAAGTTTTATACAAAATGATATATGATGCATTCTCACCAGACTTCAAAGCATTTGCTCAGGAATTTACGGGCTTAAGGATTTATCAAATCCAAATTTAATCAATTATTTCCATTTCCAGGTTTACTCAAATACTCATACATACATTTATAAATTGTACTTTAAAATAAATTTGGCAACTCCATATAATAGTATGATAATGTCATTACAGTATAATTTTTAGTTATACAATTCTTTTGTTCAATATATTAATAAATATCATAATTATTCAATAATATCATTATTTAACTTAAAATTGTAAAACACATAAATTAGTTTTTTTTTGTGTTTCCGGACTCGTAATTTTATTATAAAAATAATTCTTCAATTACTAAACTTATTTCTTCCCAACCATTAAACAGTTAAAAATAAAAAAAAATATCATCCCATTCCCCTTAAGAGGACGTCACACGCCCGTTATTTTCTTCAATAAACCCGCCTTGCGCGGATTAATTTTACAAAGGCTATAATCAAAACTAAGAAACCAAATTTTTACAAAATATAAACAACAACATTGTCTGTGTTCTACCATCGCTATTTTTTTAATATTTCAACCAGTTAATGAATAATTAATTAATTAAGAAAGGACTTTTATAAAAATGATAGCGTTGGTTGTATTAAGTATATCGAAAAAATACAGATGATGAAACACAGATAATTTTGTCATAAATAATATGTATGAAGTTCTATCCTTAACTATATATGAAGCCTGAGGAAAATTAATTCGCGCAAAGCAGTTTTTGAAAGGAAAAAATTGTAATTTATCCTATAGATATCACTGATAGTCTGACAAAAAAAAATGGCAATCAACAAAGTATCCTCATTACTGTGCATTATAGTTCAAACTCTAAATTAAGATTTTTCGAAAAATTACCTATACTTTACTTCTTAAAAATGGCCGGTATGGCGTCCTCATAAGAAATAAACAATGTTGTTACTTATCAGTTATAGGTAAAAAATTTTGACATTAGTGGCCATTACACCCTTCTTATGAAGATGTGTCAGTAGACAGTCTATATAATACTTAATTTTTAACTATGAAATTATTTTAGTAACTAAGATTATTTATTTTGGATGAAATGTCATTAATTTTTGTATTGCTATGCCAATACTTAATGTTGAAAATAAAATATTATAGTACACAATTTTTACCATTTATAGTTTTGCATAATGGGTTATTTTGTTAAAAATATTTTTTAAAACAGACAAGATATTCCCAATCAAAATAATAAAATATTTGAACAATCTTAGCTACAAATAAAAACGATATAAAAATAATACACTTTAGCGTATACTCTTATTTGGTTAGCAATGCTATCATAATCCACTCCCACAACATGTTGATGTCACTGACTCATACACTGACTTATTAAGTTTACAATTCTTTCAAAAATGTTGAAATTTTTTTTTATTGTGAAAAGTCCTAAAAAAAATAGCATAGTATTGCTATTAGTAGTTTATAAGTGTTTAATATTTTATTTATTATTTAATATTTTTTGGTCTGGAAATAGTGAAATTGAGCATAGTGAGATGAAATAATTCTAAAAAAACTGATTTAATGTGAATCTAAAGTGTAAAGATCATAGTTAAATAGCAAACATTGTATTGTCAATAAAATGGTGGTTTAGATTTTTATTTTTTTTGAAAATATTTTCAGTTGAAATTGTAATATAAGATTTTAATATTATTTAACCAATACTCTCTTATACGCATTAAGGCTAAAAATGGTTTCAACATAAAATAATTATTTAAATATTTTTTTAAGCAGCAACGGACATACCTTAACCTCAGGTGTCGAATGGCAACTGAGGTGACCACTGCGCTACACCATGCACCTAAAAGTACATTTTGTTTGATGCTTAAAGTAATATAATATTACAAAAGTTATTTAAGATTTGCTTCATTAGGATTATTATTTGAGTATTAGTTAAAGTAGCTTTGAGCAAATTATATTATCTTTCACTCATTTCGGGTAACAAACAATGTTTCCTCATAATATTGGTACTCTGACATTTAGGTCGCAAATGCTAGAGGGTCAAATATAGGGGTCAACATTTAAATGAAATTTCAACAACTAAGCAATCTATTAACCTATAAATAAGACTAAAAAGTAAAAAATAATTAAAATTAGTTATTTTTTGTTAAAATTTGTTCTATGACAGATATTTGTTACAAAAATTCGTTAAAGAGTATTGAGTACCATTGGCCAACATCAAATATTATAAATTTGCAGGTATAGAATTTTAATTAGGTAAATAGGCATTGAATCTCTTTATCGAGCCACTACTCTGTCTCACGTCTGTATAGTTATGTAGTACTGATATTACCTTAATAACGATACACACCATACATAATAATTTAGTTGTTAAAAATAGCCATCTTTGAATGTCTACATCTCTATTAAAAAACTAAATTGATATTTGAAAAAATACATAATTTTGTTTGACTAAATATTACGACACAAATCTTTAATCTACTTGGTTTTAAGTATAGAATGTGTATGTATATTGCTAAATCAAATTAAAGTTCTACATAAACTTTTTATGCCTCAAAATAGTTCCAATTTGTATACATCTCAATATGACAATGGGTGTAGGTTTTGAGTTTAATGTTGAATCATAAATGTTATTATCAAAGTTTTTTTTTTTAATTGTTACTTGATTTTGTTTTAAAACTTACAAATTGAATATTTATTATTACTAATGATTATCTATTTTTATTTTAAATATTTTTTATGTTAGGTCCATTTACTGAACCTGTTCAAACTGTTATGACTTTGAAAAATCCAGTTGATAAAAAAGTTGCTTTTAAAATAAAAACTACAGCGCCAAAACGATATTGTGTAAGACCAAATTGTGGTGAACTTGATGCTAAAGAAAAGGCAGAAATATCAGGTATGCTATTAAGAAAAATTATTTAATTATAGTAAATAACTTTTTTCAATTCAATATTTTTTGTTTGCTTAATATATGGGTTTTTTATGCTTGATATGTTAATAATTTGTATGCTACCCAGTGGATTCCCAAAATGATTTACTAACTAGAGTTTTGTTTGTGTGTGTTTTGAATTTGTGATTCAGTAATATTGCAACCGTTCGACTATGATGCCAACGAAAGAAATAAACACAAGTTCCTGGTACAGACGGTCATTATTGACCCAATTACTGACTACGCAGAAGATGGAAAAACATTTCAGGTTACTTAATATCTAAATTGTTTACATTTAAGTAAACATTAATAAACATTTCATAGTGTTAAAAGTAATCTCTTGATAACACTAATTATTTTTTTATTTTATAATTTTTAAGCAATTATAAATATTCAATTGTAATTTAATTAATAATCTATTTTGTATTTTCGTAGTGGAGAGATATTGATGAAGGTAGAATAATGGATTCTAAATTAAAATGCTCCTTTGAAATGCCTTCGATTGATCAGTTAATTGAACCAAAAAATATACATGATGAAACTACTGTAAGTATTTTAAATGCAAATTAAATATTTTATTATATTTAAATCACAATTTTTAATTATAATTTATTTTTAGGGTTTGTTAGAAAACAATGCGGAAGCTGATCTACAAAAAGTTGCCACTGAAATGAAAGAGTTACGTGAAGAAGAGAATTCATTAAGACAAGAAAACATCAAATTAAAAGTTAGTTTATTCAGCTTTTGACTTATTTATACGTTTTATAAAATTATTTGTAGTTAACACTGGTATGTTTGATCTCATAGGAGGATTTATTGCGGCTGCAACATGAAATCAAGAATCAGAATCAACAGAAACGCTCGACTGGTGGTAGTCAACATATGGTTATGCAAAATAGAAGTGTCAATGTCACCTTAATGGTGGGATTAGCAATAATAGTTGCAATGTTAGGTATAATTGCTGGCAAATACGTGTTTTAGTATGACCAATTTGATTTTGTTTAAAAATATTTAAATGCCAAAATATTTAAATTTTGGAGAGAAAAAAAAACACGTATATAATATTATTAATGTATAAATGAAAAAAGCTAAAAACAATTGAAACTTGCAATTTTGATGTCAAATTTTGTGCATAGTCCTTTTTTGTTTAGTTCTATAATAATATTAATAATAATAATAATAATCATCTAAATAATTATCATAAATAAACACGAGTTGCCATAATTAATATACTATACATATTTAGTATATGCATATTAATTTGGAATGGTCATGTTGAAATATTTCTTAATTCACAAGTTGAATAGCTTTTAAGCCCATTGTGGTGCAGGTGATAAATAATTAATGGTATATTGGTTATTGTTTTTGTTCTTCTGTGGGAAATTTGTTTTAATATATACTTGTTTTGAATTTTTTAGATGATATTTATCTATCTACAGCTAATTATATTAAATCATAATTATTTTCTCTTTTATCTCTCTTTCTTATAGATTAATATTGTATACAACCAACATTTATTATACTTTTTTTCAAAAACTATGTGTTTTCCATCAGGTCCAACTGAATGTATTTAAGTTGTATTAATAAATTATGATATTATTATAATCTTGTAAATTTAAACATTATACATTTTTTTAGAATTTATTATAAATATTCATATATTTCCTTTTTCATATAAATATTATTGTAAATTATTTTGAGTTGACTTTAATAACTTTTATATCTTCAAAAGAAAAAAAATTTATTATTTGAAATGTTGACATTAATGTTAACATGACGACAAAAATTCCACTAATTTCAACTAGACATCAAAACAAAAATATTTGTTTTGCTTAAATATTATTAAGTTATTCTAAAATAATTAAGTTTCTTAATTTACACACACCTATTGATTTAATTTGGAAACTGTATAGTAAATAGTTCTGCTTATAGTTTGCTAACGCGAATCATAATGCATTTTATATGAAGCTTAGGTGGTAATATTTCAAGAAGATCACAAAATATTACATTTTTCAGATACGACCCACTTAAGTAAACTGAACTAGAATGATTTTTGTTAATTGAAAGTAAAATTATTGGAAAATTACACAATATTATATGCATTAAAAAAAAATAAAGACATTTTTGATAAATATAACATGTTATACTTTACCTTGATTCTAAGAGACTGGCTGTTTGAAAGAAATAATTAAAGTATGGATTACTGAAATTATACAACTAAAAATTGCACCGAGCGAGTTAGTAAAAAGAATAACAAAATAAATAGTAACTTAAGGAATAATAATTGGATTGATAATGGAGATATCTAATTTAAAAGACATTTGTTCGCTCCACTCTATCTTGCCATTATCAATACGACTTGATTATTTTTTTTTTTTACAAAAAAATTTAAAAATAATTTGATAGACTAATAACTATTAAGATTTTTCTATTCAGATCCCTTGTTGTATCAGATAATTGATTTCAATAGTTACGTACTAAGACATCACTTGTAAAATTATTGACCCTAGGTACGCGATTGTAAAGGTTAAATACTATGTTGTTTGCTGTGGGTTAACACCAGTGGCGTTTTTTTAATTTTTTTTTTTTTGGGGGGGGGGTGTCTCACTTTTCAGGACTCCGTGTATGGACACCTAAAAAAAAATGTAAAATATTATACGACAAATTTGTATTAAATATACAACAAATAATTACATTTTTCTTATAAGGAAACCCCTTTTTTAACATTATAAAGACAAAGGCATTCTATAGGTTTTACATACCTTTACATTAAAACTTTTAAAAATATATTTGTTTAAAACTTAAATTATAATTAGCCTCGACAGTCGGCACCTTTAGCAAAAGTCGTAATCGTAGAGACCGGAACGATATATTGCAAAAACTAAATAACAAAATTACCTTGATTTTATAATTTAATTTAATGTAGTTTTGTTATAAAAAGAAAAATACATAGAATATAAAACTATAAAGAATATACATCAAATATTGTGAGTAAAAATCTTTAATTCATAATTATATAAAATGTTGTATTATAAATATTTACTAACATAAGTAGGTGTTTATAGTGGCATTAGTGGTCAGCATCGAAGGAAGGGGGGGGGTGGCTTAGATCGAGAGAAAAAAAAAGGCTACGAAAAATACGAATTTAGAAATTACAGACCCCGTTTAGTAAAAAAAAAAAATGGGAAACCCAACATTTTGTTTAAAATACGCCTCTGGTTAACACTTAATGTATTATTGTAAATTTTACAATAGCGATAATACAAATTGTGGTTGAGTACGCAAGTTGCACGAGCGTTTCCCGCAGTTTTCAGATTTTTAGAAATTTTCTATGTTCAAGAAAATAAATCCGTGTCCGATATTAGATACTTAAGATCTAAAATATAATTGTGTCTCAATGTATTTTACCTGGTACAACATATTATAAAAATAATTTTTATTACATTTATATTTAAATAAATATTATTGTTTATGATTTTCATATTCGATATTTAGGGTTTTGAGTTTAAAAAAGTTTTGTCTTTTGGTTTTAAAATTTAAAAATCATCAACTGATATTAATACTGAATACATTTATTTCCCACACAGTTAGTAGACAATGTCAAGTAAATATGGTACCGCTGATATTTTTGGCCGTGTCTGCCCGGTAAGGTCAATGAACCATACGGGGACAACAGTAAATAACATTTTTATTCTGTAGTTTTTTTTTAGACCTAACCTAGTCTAACAAACACTAAAATAAAACTTTAAAATTGTATTTACATAGATACGTCAGTGCTGTTTTCCCCAGAAAACATTTAAAACACACGCTAACAGTGAGAATTGTTTAGGGGCGGCTAATATACAATACCTAGCTTTTTAGGTTCTATATAAATGTTATTTTGTTGGTGACAACATCTAGTGTCTTAGCCAAGATGGATTTATCAATCTACCATGCGGTCTTAGGAAAAACGGTAGTAATGTAATATACCGATTACTTTTAATGTGTACAGAATAATCTTAAAATAATTTCATTATAGCTATTTGAAATTAAGAGTTTTTTTATTTTAAATCTAATTCTAACTAAAATCATTAAGAGTACAATATCGTCTGACGTATTTATGACGTAATTATTCAGATTGGAATTTTGGACTATGACAATAACACAAATCAATTAATAAAATATTAAATAAATCGTTTAATATATATATTTTTATTCCCAAATCATTCACCACTCTATGTAATATCAAATACCGATAAGTGATTTATATATTTATGTAAATTGACCGCTACTGATAATCGACATTGTATTTGAATGTTATATGTTATTTTTGTATCTGAAACATGCTGAATTGTGTAGGTAGGTACTATTCTAATAGCAGTGTTAGGTACAATGTCTTAAGCTATTTTAAGAAATCTAATAATAAAAATATAATCATTATAAGAGTTTTTGAGTATAAAATATAACTCCGACATACAAATAATATTAATCAGTAATTTTGTTCCATTGCAAATGAGTTTTTTTTTAGATTGTAGAAATTGTCATAATTGTGCAATTTGGCATATTATGATTAGGTGTTGTTGAATATGATTAATTTTTACAAAATAAATAATAAAAGATAAATTGCTTGTATCTGTAGTTAGTAATTATCACAGACGGAGAAGACTGAAGTGTGAACACAATCATTACGACTTTTGGAATTACTACCTATCTAATGCTAATTATATTTACTTAGTAATTTTTGGGGGTTTAAGAATTACTATCTTCTTATATTATGATCTAGAAGCTTTGTATTATTATGCCTCTCCAAAATTTAACAGCTATTATAATCTAAACGTCCTTGCCGACAAAATTAATATTCGTGCACTTAATAGAATCGTAACCGAATATATGACAAAAAATATATATCTCTAAATAATATTATAATAATCCATACAAATAATAATATAAACGTAAAAGTGATGGTGTGATATAATGTTTATAAGAAATGACTGTATTTTTACGTATAAAAAAGTCATATATTTTACTGAAGCAAACTATATAATAACAAACATAAAAATAAATGAATATAATTACCCTGTTATATCAATGTATAGATCTCCAAATGGTAATAGTAACATATTTTTAGAGCAACTACAAGACCTTTTACCTAACTTAATACGTAATACTTAATGATCTGACTAATAACTACATACGCTTAATGTCATATTATGGTTTTACTTCACATGTAAATTCTCCAACTCGTGTTTGGAATGGGGGAGAATCGTGCATTGACCACATATCTATAAAAACAATAAATAACTTTAACATTGACAATGGACTAATCTTAGAATCATCAATCACAGACCATTCCTTACCTTTTTACAAATAATCCCTAATACAAGTTTTTAAAAACAAGTAAAAACACGGCAACAGAATCAGATCTATAAAAATCTTTTTATAAAAATATCTTCAAACCACTGATAAAAAATGAGCAATGGCAAAATATACTTAATCTAACTTCAATCGATAAAACACTTGAGTCATACACTAATAGAATAAAAGACGTACTTAATCAAAAAAGCTAATAATACTCCAGCAAAAGATTTCAAATAAAACCTTGGATTACAAAAGACATACTAAATAGTATTAGAGAAAGATATTTATTACTGTAATTAGTCTATTAGCTCAGTACTCAGGGTTAGATTATTAAATTATGTTAATAGATTATAGTATATTATATTATTTTATATATTAATTAGGTTGCTATTCAGGATGTCATGACCAGCCAGATGACACCACTTTTATATTTTACTAAACAGTATTTCAGATATTATAAACTAGAACAAGCCTAGTTAACCTTGTAGTTGTTATTGTAATTCGTATTAGGCCTTCCTAGTCATTGTATTAACATCATTATCTAATTTGCATATCAGTATATAAACCCTTTTTGAATTAACCATAATTGTCAGTTGCTCATGCTAAGTCATAAGTCAGTTATGTTGTGTCAGTCTAATAGAAAATAACTATATTTCTAAAATTGTTTATGTGTTTGTTGATTTATTTAATTACAGTTTAAACAAGTCTTTAAAAGTTTAAAAAGTGTTTATTTATTATTCTATTGGTCCTCAATCCATGTAGTTAAGTTTTGCTTACTACATTACATTCACAGTCTAGAAAAAAACCGTATGATCTAACCGTAAAGAAAAAATTAAAAATATATAGAAATCATTTAAATAGTGCTATAAAAGAAGCAAAATTTGACTTTTACGGTGATAAAATTAAAAAATGTAACAATGACACGATACAGATATGGAAAACTATTAAAGAAGCTACACAACCTAATAATAAAAAAAAATTCAAAGTATCCACACTACAAGCGGATACATAGGGCTCAGGGCATATGTATATGTCTTATGACCTAGTAAATGTCAACATTTCTAATTTTCTGATTTTTTAAACATTTTTTTTTTTGCTAAAAGTTTTTTTAGTAATTTTTTAATATTTGGCCTTAAACGATTTATTGGCAACATTCACTTGGTTAGTTATTTTGAATCAATTTAACCATTCATTCAAGTTAACTGGTCGGAACCAAGAACGCCGCAGTAGACATATACGGCAAAGAAATACAATTACAATTAGTTTGGTCGACTTGCGCGGACCAAACGGATCAGAGTTAACTCAAACTCCAACCCAACCCCATAACATATCTCTAATTTCTTATCAAATAATTATTATTCATCAGTTCTTTCATTTAAAAAAAAACAACCGCTAGATCGCGCCACGCTCACATATTTTCTACGGTAACGCTCAGCGTCACGCACGCACACATTTTCGTATTGACCCCCAGCCATAAAACATAATATACATGTTAATAAAACTTTACAAATATAAATAAATAATGCTATAAAATGTTTTAGCGAAACCCATCCTTTCAAAATAGCAGAATATTTTGTTAACATAACCACAAAAAACACAAATAATTTCGTCCTTAAGAGAAGGCACTACTTTGGGTTACGATAATATTTCAACAGACTTGGTTAAATTACTAGATGACAAGGCAATAGATCCATTAGTTAACACAGTTTTTTTTAAATTTTAGGTTCATGCAAAGCGTATGAACGTATTTTAACAGAAACATTTTAGTTAATTAGAGCAACCTGTACGCTGCACGGCGCAAAAACGAAAAGATTTAAACAGCTGCAACTCCACCATTTTTATTTTCTTCGATATGAAACTCTTTTGAAAAATACATTGAATTGACAATTTCATGATGTAATTTATTTCATTTAAATAAATCTTACCATTTTTTCAAAAAAAAAAAAAATCTGAAAAAACGGCTGTTTTGCAACACGACTCTCCCCCCTTAATACTGAAGTTACTAATACTAGTTTAACTCATACAGTTCTACACGCAATGAATTCTAAAAAAAAACAATCGTTATATTTATCGATTTAAGTAAGGCCTTTGACTCAGTATGTCTTAATAAACTAATTAACTATCTAGATCAAACCGGTATTAAAGATAAAGCTTTAAAATTATTTAGAAAACAGAACCCACGAAGTCCAAATAGATAATGTGAAAAGTTCAAGTAAATTAATGTCCGTAGGAGTACCTCAAGGTACAGTACTATCTCTTTATTATAGATATGTATGTCACGGAATTGTCTAATTTTCAAATTCAAGGTAGTCTTTACTCCTATGCAGATGATATAGCACTAATTGTGGCCGTAGGCATTTGGGACTTAGTAATACAAAAAGCAGAAAACTCTTTAAGAAAAATAATTACATGGTTCTCGAACAATAACTTAACATTAAATAATGATAAAACAGCCTTCTTAACTTTTTCCAATACTATAAGAACATCACCGAACCATTCTATTTTAAAAGCCCATGTCCCAACATGTAAATATAATATACTATGTAATTGTCCTAACACAAACAAAGTTAATAATACAATATACTTGGGAGTAACATTCGACCAACATCTACGATGGAATATACATATCTCAGTATTAAATATAAAATTATGTAATTTATATGCTTTCTATAATATGGCCAAACAATTTTTAAATGTACACTGGTTAAAAAATACATGCTTTACCTTAACTCAATCAATAATAGAATATGATATAGTGGTATGGGGAGGAGCATATATGTTAATACATATATTAACTACATACAAGTAGCATAGAATACCTCTCTAAAAATTTTATATCGTTAACCGAGGCTTTTTCCTAGTAACCAATTATACTCGGAAACTAAACTGTTATCCATAAAAAAAATGATATTACTTATTACAAAATAACAGTCATACATAACCATAAAACAAGATCTGAAAATTTTATATTTCCGAAAATAAACCAGGGCCTGCGAGGGATAATAGGGCAGATTGAGCGATGCCAAGAGGAAAAGTTAGGAGGTAGGGAGGACCATTTGTCCTGCCAAGCTTGAAATATAGTTTTATTTAAACCTGGAAGGAAGTCAGAAAAAGGAGTGGTTAGGGCTTGAGGCAAAATGAAGGAAGCAGTGGAAGTGGCTAGGGAATCGGCAGTCTCATTACCAATTATCCCACAGTGCCCTGGAACCCAAAGGAATTGAACGATTTTGCCAGAGGACGAGATGCGGAACAGAAGGGATCTTATATTAAGAATAAGGGGAGACCATGTAGAGCTGAAGGGATTAGAAGAGAGAGCAAGAAGACAAGCTTGGGAATCTGAGCATATCAGAAAATTATTATCATTAGAGGAGTAGATAAAGAGAAGAGCATGGAAAATGGCGGAACATTCAGTGGTAAAAGAGGAAGACAAAGGATGGAGATTAGTATAAAAGGAAATGCTTAGGTCAGGAATATAATAAGCGCAACCCGAAGCGGAAGCTGAAGACGAACCATCGGTAAAAATCAGACGCGAGCCTGGAAAGGATAAGGAGATGTAATACAAGAAGAGATTGTTAGTTACTTGGGGTGGAAGACATGTCAAATAAGAACGAGAGAAACCTAGAAAATTTGGGACAATATGAACAATTGGAGAGAAAATTAAAGCACTGTAAGGACAATCATATATGGGTAACCGGGTGTATGATTTAAGTATATGAGGGGCTATGGAAGAGAGAGAATGGCTTATGGAAGCAAGAATGGGAAGGGTTTTAGCGACATATCGCCATGAATTAGTAATCAAATGGAATAAATGAAAAATGGATGATATAGGAGAGGACAAAGATTTGAGGAGAAATTTACCAGCGGCTCTTCGGCTCCTGATTTCAATAGGTGGGCATAAACATTCCACTTCGAGACTCGGAAGTGGGGTAGAAGGAAGAGCACCAATAATGCTACGGACACAGGATAAGAGGGCAGAGTTAAGTTTTTTGCGGTGACAAAATGATGCGGAAGAGTATAGGAAAGACCCATAGTCAACTTTGGCTCTGATCACAGCGTTAAAAACAAGAAGAAGGGAAGAGGGGTGTGAACCCCAAGAAGTACCACAAATAGAACGGAGAAAATTGGACCAGCGTGAAACAAAAGAATTTAAATATTGAAAATGTGGGACCCATCTTAACTTGGTGTCCAATTTGATACCCAAATAGGAAATCGAAACAGAGGGAGGTATGATATGTTCCTTGAAAATAACTGGAGGCAAATCAAGGGGAATGCGTTTTCTAGTAAAGAGAATAAATTTACTTTTTTCTGGGGCAGCTAAAAAGAAGGAAGAAAGCAATTCACGAGATAGGATGGAGAGGGAATTGTTGAGCCTGAAGGTAACAAAAAGATGGTTATTAAACAATGAAATAGTTGTATAAAATAAGTATATCAATACTATAACCCATAACATGTACACTTTTAATTATTTATTTATAATTGTATTATTATTTAATGGCGTTATTATTTTTTTTCTCAAATCATTGATTAATTATTTGTAAAAACTCGTATATTAATTTACTATTAATTTTTATTATTACTATTAGGCTTATATTTATTATTATATGCTGCTTATTATTAAGATTATCATTATTATTTTTTAGAGACTCTCGTTCATCAAAACAAGTATTTTATCCTTAGTGATGACGATGCAGTGCAATACGAATACATGTAAACATTACTTGTAAATTTCATTACTATCTGTTATTAAACTAAAATGTATTTTACAGCTAAATAAATAAATAACATATTTTACAGGCTACTAAAAATGTAGTAATTAATATATTTTTATTTATTTACCTAATATAGTAAAAAATAATAATAATAATTTTTAGTATATTAAAAATGTAAGTGATGAACAAAATCATGGTAAATTTTATACAAACGAATGCGAGCAAAATTGTATTTAATTAAAAATATTAAAGGTTAAAGGACTCCGTACTGCAATTAATAGCATTATAAACAAATGAATTATTTACAGGTTTATATTGCTTAGTTATTAATTTAATTACTTCATGTGATACACAACCACCTGTAACAAATAAATAATTCTAAAATAAAAAACAATTTTTTATAACGGAGATGTTCATATTTTATAGAAATAGTATTTTTTTATAAAATTTTCAGCTAAATTAATAAAAATATCTACTTTTTTAAAATTAGTTTAGTACTTACCCATGAAAGATGATACACTATGTAATTCTGACTTTCCGTAACGACAGTACTCATGTATACAATCTTCTTTAGTTGAAGACATACAACCCCATTCATTTAATAGCTTTGATATACATGACTAAAAGTACAATTAAAAAAACAACACATAGTAAAAACTCAGATATAAAAGGAAAAAAAACAATTTTTATTACCTTTAATTTAGGAATATCAGACTCTACTTGCTCGTCAATTTCACCAGGATAATTATAATATTCAGAATAAAACCTTTCGATTCCCCTTAATATAATATAGTGCTCAATCAAACTATCTGGATCTTCAAGACTTTGAGCTAATACCAATTTAAAGACTGAATAAATGTAAATGCTTGGAAAACTACATTATCACACTTACCTATTTCATTATCAGCACTGCCTTTGCGTTCATACTCATCAGCTATTCTAGTACCTCTTACCACACAGATTTCTGATGCATGTTTGCAAAATATTTTTATATCATTTTCATTGATAGTATCATCTGGTTGATTAATATCTTGTAAAATTTGTTGAACTCTATTGTAAACTTCTTCAGCATCCTTTGCCGCTTGTTCGTGATATCTGTAATTGAAAAATACTTAACTTGATTTTAAAATAAATGTTTCAAGGTGTTAATGTCTTACAATTGTTGTAAACTGATATATTTGAAAGTATCTGCTGTCATATCAGGTAATGTTCCACGCACAGGAAGTCTACCGTTGCCTTCATTTTCCACAAATTCTTTCAGAGCTCTAGCCATTATCCAAAACGGTTTACTCTATGATATAAAATTAATTTACAAAATAGAATGAAAATGTTATGAATTTTAAAAGAGGTATCTATTTAGTTACCTACATTTGATGTCAAATTAAGGAGTTTATCATCTTTAAGTATATGTTGAACTTCTGAAGGAATTGTTGTTCGGTTGTAAGCAAAGTTCACCGATTTGACTGCTTCTTCAAAATTTTCTTCATGATAAAGAGAACCATTATCATGTTTCCTAATGCCTGAAATTGATATATTATATTATTATCATATAAAATGTTGTTCAAGAATAATGCTTGTTAAATAAAAACTTAAACCAACTATTTTTGATGTTTTGTCGAATAACTTGTTTTTGTTTGTAAGTTTCAGGTAAAGCAGTATCATCACCAATGTCTCTTCTCCATTTGTCTAGGTGATTATATAATATTACTAAATATGGGACATGTAGATGATCTGTGAGATCAAGAGCTTCTAAATCGTAGCTATCAAAATGAGCTTTTAGTTTTGGGAATGGGCAATCTAATCGTAGATCAGGATTTTGATTGTCTGGATGTGTTTTAACTATGGTATGTTCATCTATTTGTAATCTCATTGAACCAAAAAATCCATAACTAGAGCAGACAATCAAAGGAATATTCCATTCCCATAGCTTATGAGACAATGAAATTATTTCCCTACAAAATAATATTGTTTTTTTATGTAACACCTATCATTGTATAAGTAGTAAAGTTTAATTAGATATACAATTCAACCAGTGGCGTATTTACAGGGGGTTGATCAGGGTGATAATCACTACCTATTTTTTTAGCTTCGATGCATTTTTTTTTTTTAAGTGAAAAAGTTTGATGAAAAGTAAAATTTATAAATGTACTTAAAATGTATTTTGTTTCATTGGAACTTGAAAAACAACACAATGTTTAATTAAATAAACAGTTTCTAGAATTGTGTGTGTATAAAGCAGGTGTAACCATTACATTTTATTTGGTCTGGCCATAAGGGCAATACTTATACAAAGATGTTAGAGGGCAACAATTTTTGTTTACATATAACACCCTAAAAGAAAATTGTAAATACGCCATTGAATTCAATTATATTAAATTTTATAATTTAAACTATAATACTGTCCTTACTTTTCATGAAGTGATGTAGTGATAACAACTGTAAATGTTTTGAATAATTCAGGATTTAGATCTAATAATTTAAGAATAGATTCATCAACAAAATGGCCTCGTGTGTCTGGATTAAGTTCACATAAGAGTTGAGAAGTGACTGATCCTCTTTTCTCTCCAACTCTTTCAGCAGTTACAAAAAAACTAAAAAGTAATATAATTTTTTAAGTATATAAAAAAAAAAAGCATATATGACATACTTTGACCCTACGTCTTCTTCTGTGACGACTTCATTATCAATTATTGTAAACGCACCTACACCAGGTAAAACTAACGATTTCAATATTTCTGTTCCAAGTGCTGTGGCATTTATCATACAAACATGAGCAGTTTCCAAGTCTTGTTGTCCCTGATCACCCCATAATCTTAAATAATAATTTTATTAACTTAAAAAATTAAAATGACCAAGTAGCATGGAACATTTATATTTTATACTATTATTAGTGTCATAAAACATCATAGGAAACAACGAGACAATGTTTACTCATTTTCGTTTAAATTAAATAACAAAAATTAGTTTACAATTTTTATGCCTTGCTATTTGCTATTATATTATGGTTATTTTTGTTTTTGATTATTAACTATAAATCTAAATATAAAAAATTGATTTCATGAACCCTGTAGGTAATAATTTTGCTGATGCCCACATCGTATAGGCAGCTTTGTCTCCTAAATGATGTGGGCCAGTTGTTCGAGCTCCAGCTGGTCCGGAGAATAGACCGTCACTTGGAAAACAGAGAGGGCTTTGCCATGTTGCAGTATGGCTTCCGCAAGGGCCGATCTACGGAGGTGGCGGTCAATTTCACCTTATAATTACCATATGTTTTCTAAATTCCATTAGCCCATAAAATTCATATTTATGTTTACATTGTCTGATAATGCAAGAACACCAATAACCAATGTACTAAATGTATGTAATGTACTAAAAATTTGACTGGTCGATAACTAGTTTTTAACTATTTTTGCAGTTATTGAAGTATCAAGTTTAAGGCAGGATGAAAGGTAGAGTGTAGTATTATTTTTACCTACGCCTACTTCCCCCATCCTAACTTTTAAACTCTTATAACTTTAAAAATAGTGGTTCAAAACAGGTTATCAACCAGTCAACAACATTTTTTGTACATTATTCTCAATTTGTAAAGTTAATGAAATGTATGCGTTACCATTTAAGCTTCAAAGATTACTATTAAAAAACTAAGTAGGAAGGGGGTAAAAACAAAAGAACTGGGAAAAATTCAGATCACATTGTATAAAAACAACATGAAAAAGAAAATTTAATTTCTAATCAAACCCTATAAGATATTGAGTAGTTCACAATAAAATGATCATTCTGTATTAAACATTTTATCTATTTTTTAAAAGCCTGATTGATTTAAGTGTATTTCATACGATTTAAAAAGTTTTTTCGTTATGTGTGATATTTAACAAAACTATTAATTTTTATTGGTGGTCTTATTTTACCTAAGTTGACGATCATATTTCCTGCTTCTTTCAGATTGCTCTGGTGACTTGGGCGATGGTACGGCCATTTATATAATATGCGATTAACTAATAATTTAGTACTTTACTTATAATTAAAATTTGAATATATTATTGGGTTGAGTTTCTACAATGTTTATTGAAAAATACTCAACAGTAGTATCATCGGCGTTATCAAATAATAATCTTAACTGAGGATATATTTTAAGGTTATATTTATACCATATTTTACTGATAAGAGTTTTATAAACGATTTTTTTAAAAATATAATGACTTCTAGTATAAAAATATTCCTATTTATTGTTCATGGTAAGTAGATACAATGATGTTTAAATTGTTTTAAATTTTAAATCTCTACTATAAGAAAATTGGAAATAAATAATTTTATCAAATTCGGAATTATACTGGAAAAGTGATAACGTGTTTTTTTTGTCACGAGTCGGGAGGTGCGGAGAGGGGATCCCAGGGGCCAGGGGCCAGTGACGAGTATTTATTCTCACAATCGTATCGTATATTCGTAATTCGTATCCGAAATTTTGTCGTTCATTTTTGCGCGAGACTTTGCCATCTGCTACCATCAAGACAGTTATATATTTATGGTAAATATATAATTTAATACGTTATTTAGTTGACTTATTTATCCGTGTCTGTCAAACCTTCAGATACGTGCACAAGGTATTAAAAACAACACAGTTACGTCATCGGCCAATTAGGTCTTCAATGTCGAAACGCATGTTCAGCTAAAATCTGGTTGCCAATCCGTTCTAGTGTCGTTAAAATATTTGGGGGTTTCTTAATAGGTCTTATACAGATATTGTGCATCACATACTCCAAATGTTTAGCCTACCAGTATGATGTATTAACACATTTAGTGAGTACATATAACCTCAAACACAAAAACTATTTACATACCAAATTAATTAAAAAATGTATAATTAACAAAATTTATGTCTAGCCAAATATTTACACTGTTGATAGTTTGTGATTTTTATGCCTTCGTCAATTTTATTTGTTCATGATATATATTTAAATAATCATCTTCAATTTATTATCTGATTATCTGATAATACCATATAATATTAATATGTGTATATTATAAAATCTAATTAGTCAAATCCTTTGCAGTTATTAAGTAGCTTTTTTTTATGATAATGTTTGTTGTGATAACATGAGTAAGGTTAGTAATGACATAGACTGTTTTACTAATTTTGCTTTCTTATTTTATGTAAAACAAATGTTTTTTAATTGATACCCATATTAACAAATAATAAAACACCAACATAAAGTTTTAATTGGTTTTATCACGTAACTCTAAAGCGTAGTTTTTAAATGAAGATAGTGTATTTAGTACTAATCACTTATATTACATAAAAACTTGTTGTTTATAATTTGTTTAGTGTGAAAAAAATGCATAAAGTACTTTCAAAGTAGGTATGTTCAATCATCTATTTTGTATATATGTATACATCATTATTTGTCTAAATATTATTTAACTAACAATAAAATATTTTGTAATTCTTAATTTTTGTGTAAGTCATAATTTTAGGCAATTATAATTACTAGGTTTAGGCTTTAGCAATGTTGTAGTGTTTGAATCATCAAAAACGTATACAAATACTTGACCCGTATTTTTTGATTGTATTAATTGACCTTCATAAATATTCTTCAAACATTCTAAATAATGATTTGTTTGATGTAGTTTTTAGGTTTTAATAAAAGTTTTTATGATATTTGCATTGTCGCGTATATCTTGGTTGAATTTATCAAAAAAAAAAAAAACAATAAAAAAAAAAACAGCTATTTATTATGTGCTGTTTTAAATCAAAGTTCAAGTATTGACTGCCTTGTATCTGTTTAAATTAATAATTTAATATACATTGACCTAAATAAATTATTTGAGACTTTTAGAAAACGGAAGACTTATTTTAATTGTTTTCACTCAACATATTAAACCCCTAAATAAGTGTTGTTCATTAAATTGTTTTACAGAATGGAAGGGGACCAATTAGATTTTGAAGATCCTTCAACATCGTGCCTTGATAAGACTGATTCTACCAGTCAAAGTCCTACTATGTGCCCTATAGTAATGGAAGCAGCTGAACAAGAATTAATAACAGAAGAATCTGCTCCAGCTACAGATTCCGATGAAATTGGTGTGGCAAACATTATACAAAGTAGTAATGAATACCTTCATTTAGTTGCCAATGATACATGTACAGACCAAGAGATTTCCTCGGACGAAAGTCCTTTACTTAGGGATGATTGGGGCGATGACGATGAAAATTGGACAGATGACCATAGTGAAAATACTGAAGAAGCATCTAGTGCCAATGGTGTTGTTGTAAGTATTATATAATTTAAAATTCTGTAATACATACTGTAAAGACTATTTTTTATTTTACATTTTACCTAAATAGAGGAAAAGAAAAATATCAAGTTCAACATTGGCATCTGAAGATTTTCCGTCCAAAAAACAATATTATGATCAAAATAATATGACACTTGATGAAAGGTAAGAATTTAATTATTATTAAAGAGATAGTATTTAATATTTTCATATTAAAGTAGAATTGGAACTGAATATTTAAAAAGGTATTTTTATTTAGTTTTAAAAATAGAAAAAATTAATTTAAAATATAGATAAAGAATATACTAAAAAATAAATTATAAATAGAAAAAAATATATATGAAGCAGTCAAGAATTTTAATTTATTTTGTTAATGTATCGTTGATGATAATTATTTTGACAATAATAAATAATAACATAAATCGGTTTTCAGTGCATTTTCTAACAATAATCAATGTACATTATTTTAAAAATGTTAGTGTTGAAATATTTTTAACGACTAATGGCTTATTATTTTTGTGTACTTATCATTTAAATAGTTTTATCTAACTATTTTTCCTCTTAAAGTTTGCACGTGATATAAATTATAAAATATTTGATATTTTATTGGTAGTTGATATATTTTATATAAAGAAGAAAAAAATATATTATTTTAATGCACATTATTTGCATAAATTAAATAATTTATTGTTTATATGTACTGAGGAGGAGTGGCCGAGTGGCTAAGGCGGCAGTGTGTTAGCGCTCACTGTCGCCGGTTAGACACTCGGTCACAGGCGCTCCGTTTGCTGGGCGAGTTGTCCGGTGAAAAGGAACCGCCATCCCCCTCTCCGGCGACGGATTGACGACCCGTCCCGGAAGTGAATTTGTCTAGAAACCATCTCATGATGGCAGCGTTGGGCCTTCATGACCCGTTAAGCTACATGATGATGATTATGTTTATATGTATGTATCAGACTGATTACTAAAATGGTGGACAATGAGTTGCCTGTTGATAAGGTTAAAGTACGCCGAAGTTGTATACCGTCCAAAGATGATCCCCCTGAAGAAATGATGGAGTGGTTAAAAACATTTACGGTTAGTAATATAATAAAAAAATGTTAATATTTGTTAAATAACTATTGACTAATTTTGTTATCATTTTACAGAAGTGGTCAAATGCAGAACGAATGTTGGCCATAGGTATGTTGGTAGATGAATGTGAACCTACCCAAGTTCGACATATGTTACAACTTATCGAACCTCAGTTTCAAAGAGATTTTATTTCTTTACTCCCTAAAGAAGTAAGTAATTTGGGTTTTTTTGTAATTTTGTTTGATTTTTAACTAAAATATTGTTGGTTATTTTTAAATTTTAGTTGGCATTGTATGTTTTGTCATTTCTGGAACCCAAAGATCTTTTAAAGGCTGCTCAAACTTGTCGAAGTTGGAGATTTTTATCTGAAGATAATTTACTATGGCGAGAAAAATGTCTGAAGGCTGGTATTTCATTAATGGAACCCCCAGCAAATAAACGTTCTAGGAGTCGGTATTCAATTAGTTCACCCTGGAAAGTAAGTATTATTCATTGATAATTAAAATAGAATTTGAAATTAAGAAGATCTAAGCTATTTGTAACATAGTATATTGGAATTTTTCTCTAAAGCAGGGGCTATTGTGATTCATTTTATCTTTTTGACAGTTACCCTCATGTAATATCTAATTTTGTTTTTTCTCTATTAAACTCTCAACCTTTTGCACTGTTTATTCTAAATTATATTATAGTGATGAATAAGTCTGAGATCAAAAGATCTAATTATATTTTTCAGTATCAAAAAACATTTATGACACATATACCTAAAAAAATATCATTATTAAAATTATAAGTAATTTCATTTTAATAAAAATAATGCTATAAATTATCACACTTTTAAAATTTACGTTTAAACAAATTTAATTAAATTGTTAAGTGAACAAATTCAAAATTTTTTAGTTGGTTTATGAAATATATTAATACATTGTTTAACTTTTTGTTTTACACATTTTTGTTGGAAATTGTTATGTATATCTTTTGGTTTGCCAGTATGCTTTGGTCAGTTGCCGGGCATATTAATATTTCCCAAATCAAACAAAAATCCATTAATTGTTGTCTGGGGTCAAGAATTTTGGAATTTAAAAAATAATGAAATAAAAGAATTTAAATTAATATTGAGTGGCTTATCTCTATAATCTCGCCTCTCTAAACCAATTCAAGTTACGCATATGACTTAGTTGTATCTTTCTATTTTATAGACTTCTACTTTCAATATATTTTGTATCAATAAATTTTCTCCAAAATTCTATGTATTAGATTTTATGCCTGTGATGATTTATAATGTTACTACATTTTTTTATTGTCTATTGGTTATTTGTGTATTATATATTTTTTTTATAATATAGAATTTATACTATTTTAGGCTTCATATATGAGGCAACATGCAATAGAAATGAATTGGAGGGTAAAGCCAATTAAAATGCCAATAATACTAAAGGGTCATGATGATCATGTAATTACGTGTCTACAGTTTTGTGGTAACCGAGTAGTAAGTGGCTCTGATGATAATACGCTGAAAGTTTGGTCTGTCACATCTGGAAAAGTAAGAATGGTTTTCTTATTTATTTAAATTAATTAAAGATATTTTTTAATGTTTTTAACTTTGTTGGTATTATAAGAAATATTTTTTTTTTGAAGATTTATAGTTAAAATATAGCAAATTATAAGTTTTTATGTACAACTTACAGAAAAATACAAACAGTTAGACTTTTTCAGAAATTGAGTGCTTAAGCTTTTTTTCTATAACACAATGTAATAAGCATATTAGAAAAATAAATACATTATAAACTACAAAATAATACTATTTTTAAGAATAAAAAAAAATTAGTAAAAAAGTAAAAAACAATTTTACTACAAGAACAATTTACCAATCAATTGTAGCACATTTTTTTTTAAGAAAAGTGTGGGACTCATTCAACAAAGTTCCTAATAATTTTATCAGATAAAATTTCAGAAATTTTATATTGCAAGTTTTTTTGTTATTTAAATTTGGTTCAATTTTAATGTGTGTGACACAAACATTTCATAACACTTAACTCAATGAATTTGGACTTTGTTGAATAGGGCCCACGCTTTTCTTTTTTGTCAAAATTTGAAGATGTTTAACATTAATTAAAATTTTAGTTAATTTTTGGTTGTTTTCAAAGTAATTTACATGAAAAAAATGTGCTACAATTGATTAGTAAATTGTTCTTGCAGTAAAATTATTTTTAACTTAACTTTTTTACTATTTTTTAGAAAAGTATGTTTTTAAAAAAAGTTTTTTTTTATTTATTTCTTTTTTTCTTTTTAGTCCTATTAAAGGTACTTAATAATTGTGAATAGATTACTAAATTATTTTTGGAAGATTTGAAAAAAACATGAAATTTTAGTGAAATGACCCCAAGTTTGACTTCCCGGCATTTGCGACCTGGGTTATCGGGGTCCCAATATTATGACGGAACATTGTATTGTCATCCAAAATGAGTGTCTGGGTTAAATTTCAGCCTTCTACGATATTGGGAAGTCGGTTAAATTCATTTTGGAAAATTTGAAAAAAACATGAAATTTTAGTGAAATGACCCCCACATATGACTGTGTATAGAAACCTGTACGTCTGAGTCCCAATATTATTACAGAATATCGTATTGTTTCCGGGATGAGTGTCTGTACCAAGTTTCAGCCCTCTACGACATTGGGAAGTGGGTTAAATTAATTATGCAAGATTTGAAAAATACCCTTACAAACGTATGTACGTGTTAGCAAGTTTAAGAAAACCATGTAAAAAAAAAAAAAAATGTTTCATGAGTAAAATAAATTATATTTAACATAATATTGTTACCAGTAGAAATAAATTAATAATAATTTTAATTAGATATTTTTGTAAAACTTAGATAACTATTAATCAAAAACACTTTATGTTTAGTGTTTAAAAGTTTTAACTGGTCACACCGGAGGAGTTTGGTCTTCACAAATGGCTGGTAACGTAATTATTAGTGGTTCTACTGACCGTACTTTAAAGGTGTGGAATGCTGAAACTGGTCAATGTACACATACTCTCTATGGACACACTTCAACTGTTCGTTGTATGCATTTACATGAAAACAAGTATGTATTAACAATAAATAAAATAAATATTTATTATTATTACTATTTATTTCAGCACAATTGCAATAAAACTACATATTATTAGATAAAAAAAAAAAAAAATTAAGCTGGTACTCGTAATTCTAAAAAATAGTATCAATAAAAATTAAATATACCTAATTTACAGTTATTATTATTTTGTCTGTAATCATAGATGTTTTTCTATTAAGTATGTACCTATGAACAATTTTCAGAGTTGTAAGCGGGTCGAGAGATGCTTCACTCCGCCTATGGGATATTAAGACTGGAGAATGTCTATCGATATTTCATGGGCATTTAGCTGCTGTACGATGTGTGCAATATGATGGCAGGTTAATAGTTAGTGGCGCTTATGACTATTTGGTCAAAGTGTGGGATGCAGAAAGTGAAACTTGTTTGCATACGCTATCTGGTCATACAAATCGTGTATATTCATTACAAGTAAGTGTAACCTGTCAAGTACATCTTATTCCTAGTGGCCATTAAGTTTATATGTCCGCCTGGACTCAAGATGTACTGGGAGTGCTATAATAATTTTCTAAAAATGTATAATTATTAATAGTATGAAAATTATTTATTATGAGCATTTCATTATTAAAGAGAACATCAATATTTTTTTAAATATTTAAAAATTAAATATTCATTTCTTTATTGTAATTTATATACTAATTATGATAGAATTAATATAAATTGAAATACATTGTTAAGTGTATCTTGTTTTCAATGACATTTACATAATCAATAACTAAATTATATGAGTTCTCCTAAATTCACTAGATATTGCAAAATATGTGTACATTTCATGTGTATCTTAAGTTTAACTTTATAATGTGTACTTGAATTATGTAGTTACATACGCCACATATAGAAACACGCACAAATGTGAAACTAGTTTAAACTTTAATGTAAAATTGATCAAGTAGAAGTCTATTTTAAAATGATAATAATATTAAAAATTATATTGTGTTTTAGTTTGACAGTACTCATGTTGTTAGTGGATCATTAGACACTAGTATAAGAGTATGGGATGTTGAGACTGGTACTTGTAAGCATACTTTAATGGGACACCAATCACTAACATCTGGAATGGAATTACGAGACAATATATTAGTTTCTGGAAATGCAGACTCTACTGTTAAAGTTTGGGATATACTTACTGGACAGTGTTTACAAACATTATCAGGTATGCTTGAAAAAAAAATTAATCAATGTAAATTACAATTTTTAATATTGTCAATGTATTATTAGGTCCAAACAAACATAACTCGGCTGTAACATGCCTTCAATTCAACTCAAGGTTTGTGATAACGTCTTCAGATGACGGAACTGTTAAATTATGGGATGTCAAAACAGGTAACTAAAGTATATTTTATAACCTATATTAAATAAAAATGTCAATTAAAAGAACTTAATAAAAAATGTGATTATTTTTTAAACTTGTTCACAGGTGAATTTATTCGAAATTTAATAGCCTTAGAAAGTGGTGGAAGTGGTGGAGTTGTATGGCGCATCCGAGCTAATGAAACTAAACTTGTGTGTGCAGTAGGCAGTCGAAATGGTACTGAAGAAACAAAGTTATTTGTATTAGATTTTGACGCCGACCTCAAGTAACAAAAAAAAAAAAACAAAAATCAAAAACTCGGTAGTTTGCATCACATTATACATTTTTTGTTTGGTTAAGGAGAGTTACGAGTATTTGGGACTGTTATGGTACTTAGTTAAACTAAAGTCCCTAGAATATATTTTATCAGTTATCACATTTTAGTGTATTTCGTTTCAGTATTATACTCTTTATTACTATTAATTTGTCAAGGAAAGAAAAGCATAAGGTTCCTGGTAAAAAAAAATTGTAATGAAATGTTGATTAGTGATTTATAGCGTACTATAATAAAGTTATTCGTTAACTTGAGCATAATAATCTAGTCTTTCAAAGGGGAACCTTATTTAGTTACAGTGTTCAGCTATACTATGTTCATATTTGGTAGCATTGGATGATCTGACTGGCTGGTATTCTCATTTGATAATAATAAATTAAAATGGAAACTTAGAACAAATGATTTGGTATTTACGATCCCATGTTTTAAAATAGTTTATCTTTTGAAAGACACATTAGTTTGTTTAATCATACATTTCTATTAATTGTTATTTATGTCTGCTGCTCGTGAGCTGCAATCTTTAAAAAAACTAACTATCGCTATGGAGACAAGAGTGTTTTTTATTTTATAAGAACAGAATTATTTTTGTTTAGTATGTTATACACTTATTTGTACAAGAAATCTTAACTATTCATTAATGTCGAGAAACCCTAATCTATACTTTTAGAGCAAGTTTACTATTTATTATTATTTTTAATTATAATTTGTTATTTGTTATTTATTGGAATATTTTGAACGTTTAAAATGTTAAGTTATTTAGAGGAAGAAAGTGTCTGAAAAATGTTCGAGTACTGATTCCTAGGGAATCTTTTTTTTTTCTTGTTTTCTTCTTTCTGATCTCAAAAAAACAATAACTTTTATTTAAACATTGTGTCATTCTTTTAAATTTGCTTTTGATTATTTTATTATTACTACTTTTTATGAATGTAAGCCAATTGGTGTATAATATACATCTAAAGATTTAAACAAAATAAAAAAATAACGTGAATTTCTTTTAAAGAATATAAAAGAACTCTCAATTTCTAATGAAACAGTTAAAACATATTCAATGTATTTAAAAAAATGACATTTTATTTGAAACGAAACTCTTTTTATTATAGTATATGCTATAAATATACAAATATTTATCAAAATTAATTTTTTAATATTTAAAGGTACTTTTAAATTTCTAAACTAAAAGATTGTAACCAAATGTATTATCAAAGTAACTTCATTATTGTGGCATTATTAAATTGTAGATTGGGATTTGAAAGTTTTTCTGGTTAAATACTTAGTTTGTCCTGAATCTATAATTGTTTTTTTTTTACTATACATTTGCCTATTAAATTAAAATATTACCTTTTTATTTTTATTGTGTAGAAATTTAATATTGGATTTATTAAAATGTTATGTTAACATTATGACCAAAAATTATATCTTAAAATTGCCAAAAGTTTAAAAGTGATCAATAGAAGTGGCCGAGGAAGTTTAATATAATAAAAATATTACACAAGCTGTGATTCTCAAATCATATAATACAAATTATTTTTAGGTTCATAATTTTGTTTCAAACATTGATAATTTTTAAAACATAAATTGTTTGTTTAACATTAATAAAAAACCTCCTCTGTTTTATCAAATTTTAATGCTTACATGCAAAACTTATTTATTAAAAAAAAATATACTTAAATTTAAATGACACTTTATGGTGTGTACATAACTGAACATTTTGATAAGTTTATTGTTAATTATTAATTAAGTTAATTTAAATGTTTCAAATGAACAATAAGTGTATACATACTAATAATTTATTATGATGCTCAATGTTCAATATTGATGTCTAATAAAAATATTTAGTAATTACAACTTTGTAGCCGTAAAGACATCAATGATCATTATATAGTATAAAATGAACAAAGTATAACCAAATTTTGTTTTGCAAGTGCCAAAAAATAGATTATTATGACTTCTTTAAGTTGATTTATTTTATATTTCTTACCCCACCCATTGTATTGTTACTCTACATAATAGTTGCTCATAACTACAACGTTGTAATATTATTATGTTTATCGGTACAAAAAATGTCACTTGTTTTTTTCCTCAGTAGCTTTTAGTTTATTTTATAATTTTAATTACATTTTTTATTTTAAACTACATCTTAAAATCTGATGAACCGGTAAACATAACAATGCTTTAAAGTTACCGGGTATCGGATACCTGTCCCGTTTAATTTTTTAAATAGTATCGGTTTTAATTTATATATACTTCATTTTTGTGTATTTTAGTTAAATTAATAATGTTATAATAAATTATTTATTATTAATTTTTAAGTTTGCGTTTGATGAAATTTTCACTACGTAATTGACTGTATTAGAATAAATTCTTGCTAATACTAGTAAAATATTAATTATAAGACCTGTGATTTATTTTACTTTACTTCTTTCTTCTTTCTTTATACATTAAACATTTATGAAAAATGTGTAAGTAATTATAAAAAGTATGTGTGTAATTTTATATATACATATATGTATGTATAGTTTTTATTTTAATTTGTATGTACCTATGTAACTGTAAACCGATAGATTTTTGTAATCAATATTACAAAATGTTTAAGTTGTGTTAAATAATAAACTGTACTCTGTTGTTATTTATTTCCATCTGTTTTTAAAGTTATGTAAAGATGTATGATTTTCGAGATAAAAAATGTTTATAAGAAAAGTCTACCGCTTTGTTCTTTCTGTTTTACTTACCTTAATTCCCTGAAATTAAATATTCTTACAAATGTTATATAGTGCGCTTAATGTTTCAGGATATTGTTTTTTTAAAATCAATAATTACATATTTATTAAATGAAAAGAGTAGTTTAGGAATTATGATGAGAACACATTTTATTGTATTTTAGGTTATTACATTATTCACAAGACCCATAGAACTATTTTACAGTAGGACTTTTTATATTTTAAATATTGGTCGTTAATCCAAAATTTAACATATTACTAATTAGGAAAATATTTACTAAAATATACTTAAAACTCCGAACTCGGTACCCACGTCATTATTGAACTGATTGTTTTTTTAAAACTTATTTTTATATTTTAAGAGGGTCTGGTACTCAGTGTTTCGTCGGGGACTCAAAATGTCCTAATACGGCTCTGAACTTTTTCAACTGTAGGCCGTATAATTTTATATTTAATTGCTGAAACTAACAGTCTGTAACAGTGTGAAATCTATATAAGAACACTTATTAAAGTCAGAAATATGAATATGATATTTTTGTTTATTGGAATTCATATAAATAAGATTTAATCTAATTTCACAAAAGTGAAGCGACTGGTCCTTACTCATTTGCATTTGTTTTCTTGGAATAATAAGTAATAACATTAAATATCGTTTGCACTATGATGTAGTTGGTAACGTTCCTAATGTATATTGTACGTACGTTGTCCTTGATTTCATGCAAATAAAAAATCCAAGTAGGCTCTTTGCAAATTATTTTTAAAAATAATATAATAACTTGCCTAACCAATTCCATTGTAATAAAAATTAATGGTTTTTGCATTGGGTTGTATAACGTGAGCAGTAAGCACGTATTTATTGTATAGTAATTTGGTACATGTATTATACATATATAGATTATAGTATAAAAGTGTTCAAGAGCGCCGTTCCGTTGATAAGTTGAAATATAGTAATCTGTATTATAGTTAAATTATATCGTGTACGGCGTTTATGTATAATTTATTTACAATTGTTGTTACAAAGTCGATAGACGGTGGTGAGATGTGTGGGGTAACTCATAGTAAATAACTTAACATTTTGGAATTTTGCTTACGAAAAGTTATGATTATGCCTCCGAGGAAATAATAAAATAAGTGTAATTCATACTTTTATTTATTTATTATAAAATATACGGGATGAGTCCAAAAGAACAAATTACAATTTTACATTGGTTATGTTATTATAAAAAAGATTCATGAAAAAAAAAAAATTATTTAGTAGAAACTAGGCTATACAAAACATAAAAATGAGGGGTCCTAATTAGGGATATGTAGGGATATTTTAATAGGGTATAGTATATGGTAGATATAATAGGTGAGAGTTGTAATTGTTAGTGGTCAAAATTGAACAAAATACTGAAGATTGAGTTATGTGCTGATAACAAATTTAATTTTCACAACAAGCTTGTATGTTATTTTTACATAAAATATAGTATAAGTATTTATCTTTTTAATGTTACAATTTTAACGGTAAATGACCATTATTATTTGTGGCTTTATTGTAGGGCAAACCCGGATTAAGGTCGTCGTGGCGCTAATCCAGATATGACCCGGGGAACCCTTGACTTGACCCTACTTCCCTTTTTGGTCCATTTATTTTCACTTTTCAGTAGCGTAATTACAAAAAATAAGGAGCGGTTAGTATAAAAACCATATTTTGGCAAACAGTTTACAACTTAATACAATTTGTTTAGTTTAAAAAAAAATCCACAGCAGTTATACTGAGTACCTACACATTATTTTTCATCAAAATGTTAAATTAAAAAATTAAAATACTAAAATATAAAATATATAATTATTTAAAAAAAAAATTGTTGTAGAAAAACTAATTAATTATAATTCGTCAATCATATAAATCAATAGTTATAGTTACATTATATACATTTAAATTGGTTTATCTGTGCACATTGCTCAACAACACTTATCTTCGTATCCTAACTTTCAGACTCGTATTGCTTTAAAATTAATTATTAAAAACTGGTTAGCCCAGTGAGATATTGAGTGGATCAATTTAAAACTTACCCTGTATTTATACAAAACTTTTGGAGTATTATGACCGATAAAGTGCCACCTATAATATTATTATTACACGATTTGACAACTTCGCACGAAAAATCGTTCGCAATCGTTTGATTTTTGGGTATAAAATAGTTTTTGATCTACTGATAATCGTTCGCAATCGTGTACCACCGACGCGATCATCGAAGAGTGTAATAACAAACAATTATTTTAGGAAATGCGTACTAAATCAACAGTGGTATTCAAACAAAAAACTGCGGAGCTCAATCGTATGACAACGCGTCAGCCATCATCCATTAGTAGTAAATATAACGATGTTTAAAGCAAAATAACTAACCTACATGAGTCCCTTGCGCAGTCCATTCTTAATATTTAGCCGAGAAAGTTGTTTTTGCTGCTTCTTATTGTTTACCGTCTACATTTTTTTTTTTAGAAACAATGTATAATTTTTTTTCAATTCAAGGATATTCTCAAATACAATTTACCCTGCGCGGTAAATCTAAAGATTTAAATGAGTTACCAAAAATACGCCATGGAGCAAACTGTATACAGTTTTACATTATACATTTTAGAACAAAATTCTGAATCGTTTCAAGGCTACTAAAAAAATTCTTAAGATTCCACATTAGACCTTAATAATGCCGTTGTATTTGTAAAGTCATCAAGGTGTTTTATTGATTCTCAACGAGTTGTTCTTTCAATGTATGAGGAAAAAGGCATAACTATCTTAAAATCGGTGGAATGGGATAATAAAAATCGATTTCGTAATATTCGATTAAATCATTTGGATTACGGCAAAGTTTCAAATAAACTTTCCAGAAAAATATAATGAAAAATGTTTTTACCTGTTATTGATCAACTGCAATAAGTCGGAGAATTAAAGCATACGAAGTAACGTGTAAGTAATGTTTGGATTTTTGGACATTTCAATAATCTTAGCAACGATAAATACTAGAGGCAGATAAAAAAAACTGTAGCTGTATATAAAGAGGATATAGGCAAAGTATTTTTATTGAAATAATTATTTTTAGCTTCTATGCGTAGCTGAGGAGGTAATGTTTTTACAAAGAAGTATTTTCATTTATTTATTTATTTTCATGCGTACCCACGGTATTTGATAAACCAAATTATTTGTGTAGATACTCTATAGATCAGAAAGCGTACCTAAAAGGACTCTAAAAAGTAAACATTTAAAAAGTTCCCCCTTCCTTTTAAAATCGAGATAACACACAAAACATGTATACATTTTTCAACTTAAAATATTTTCATTATATTGTTAATTGCGATATATGGGTTATTACCACAGAATTTATTCTGTGTTATTATGACAATAAATAATTATAGACAAACGATAAACCCTAAACGTATCCACTCTGTATACTTAAAATGAATTTTAACCTATTATTACACCATTTAGTCTATTCAATTATGTTAAAATGGCATTTGGTTTAAAAAATGCAGCTCAAACTTTTCAACGTTTTGCAAAGGAAGTATTTAAAGGATAAAATGTTGGTTTTGTCCATATAAATGATATAAGTATTAGTATTATCTAAAGATGAAATACAACACAAAGGCCATCTACAACTAGTATTTAAACGACTACAAAAGTATGGTCTCAACATAAACGTTCAAAAAAGTATTTTCAATAAGACAAAAATAAAGTTTCTAGGATATGATATACCAGCTGAAGGAATAATGCCAGTAAAAGAAAATAGTTAACGGTGTTCAATAATATAAGAAAGCAAAAACCATTAAAGATATTAGAAGATTTTTAGGAGTCATATTTTTACCGACGATTCTTATTTGAAACAGCTAAGTATCAAACACATTTGAATGATTATTCAAAACAAACGAAAAAAACTGATACCTACCAAAATGGAATCATACAACTGAACAAGTATTTCAACAATGTTTGCACAAACAAAATACTTAAATAAGCTAACTCTTTTAGAGGGGCTAGAAATTTGGCCCTTTTGCACTATTAGGTTTTTTTTTGAGATATATTACACCTCTATTGGCTAAAAATTCAATCAATTTTTTTTTTCATTTACTACAATGACTGCAAAAAAATCTTTTAAAAATTACCCGCCTTTTTTCTTCAACATTTTTTTACAATTTGTATGATTTATTGTGCCCTGCAGCCATTAAACTGAATAGTTAATATTGCGTCAGCAATCTTTCTGAGATATATTATAAGTAGGTTAATAATAATAATGTATATTATAAATGCAATCATAAATTGCATGTACAAGTGAGTACTAAAATTACATTATATTAAAATGACTTCTTATGTATCATAAATCACATAATAATTTCATATACTTTATACTATTCTTGGTAGCAAAGCTAGTGACAAGTATTTTCAAAAATCAAAATTGCATTACTTTTTATAGCACAATAGACCACACACGTTCGGCTAGTGGCTGAACGATAATAATAATATTAAAACAACTATTTTGACAGACGGTACTTTGGAAATGCACTTGTCGGGCTGAATGATAATAATTATATTTTGTGCCCAGGGAAAATCAAATCATAGGAGATATATTTTGTCAATATAATAATGTGTCAGTTAGTGTTTAGAAACCAAAATTAGAGGGCCTTCGTAGAGTTTTGATTGGTTACGAATTAGTGAGACCGATCGAAAACATCTGTCGCAGACTTTAATATCTTCGTCGAGTAGCCGGATTGCCGCGCCTAGACCCTAAAGCTGGACGGGGAAGAGTAGTAGGTACAATTCAAAATTGCTATTGCGTCTGTACCGATATATAATACAATTATACAATATTATTATCACAGGCGTTCTCGCTTTAGCATTAGTTCATTTGAAATTTTTGGTATTCGTATGACTGCTATTAAACTGTTTATGTTCAGTTGAGTGACCGTTCTAGTAAAAAACTTGTACTTGTTTTTTTTTAAATGACAATAATAAATGCAAATAACGCAAGGATAGCTTTAATAATTAATGAATTATTAAATATTAATGTACAAATATTTTTTATTGGGGACGATTAGAAACTTAAAAAAGTATAGTTGAGAGAGGAGGGAGGGAGAGAGAGAAGGGCTCTGAAAGCCTATACCCTGATCGTCTCGGTTTCTCAGGCCGCGGCGGCCGTAGTTGTTTTAGTTTAAATATCAGACATTCTATGGTTATTAATTTCCTTACAATTATAGTAAAATATTGTTCTATATTGTACTGTCTACCTATAAGGTGTGCTAAAACGTTATAATTATTGTATAGAATAATTTATCTAAAAAAATAATATACTAATAAGTAATAATAATACTATAATAAATATTTGCTTTTAATTACTTTACATTTGTGCGTCACATTTATGCCTACCACTTTTTAAAATTGTAATTTGTATAGAACATACGAGTATTTGAAAAAAGGGCTGGTAGATAACGGGGTTTGAATAAGTTCTTCTTGATTTGTGAACTTTCAACTGTACTTAGCAGTGTGGCTGAATTTAGTAAAATGAATTGTATAATTAGTTTACACGGTAAAATAGTAGTATGCTTAACGTCCGTGTATTATGTACTTTGAAACAAATTTATTGAAAAAAATACTGTAGTGTAGTATTTATATAAACTCTTTAATTTTTAAAAAACAATAATTAACTGCCTGCGCCATTCGACAAAGTCTACCGATAAATACGTTGTATACACATCACATAGGTTCTAAATACTAATATTTCTATTACAGCTTAATTTTGTCTAAGGCAATCAAATATTAATTATATGTCATGGCCGTTTTCACCAACTAATCTTAAATTTTAAGTATAGTTGATACAAACTGCCAGTGATCAAAGACAATAAAAAATTTTTTTAAAAAACCAGTGACTGATAAATGATTAAAATATAGTCAATCATATCTATGTATAAGACAAAAATAACATAAATATGTATAAAGAAGTACTTGTTAACTATATAAACTATGTTAAACCATTCTAAAGGAATCCTTTACAATACACATAATCGTAAACTAATTAAATCTCGCTGGAAGACTGTACTTAAAAAAAATGATGAAAGATATATAGGTAGTATTTATTTAGTTACTCTTTTTAAATTAGCCAAATTTCAATAGCAATATTTATTTACCCGGGAGAAATCACGAAGAACAAGTCCTTTGTTGGGCATCCTTTGTTATATATGTATATCTGTAGCTATTTATCGTAGCTGTTGCTAATATATTATATTATAATAACGGCGGCTCAAGGAGGTTGGAAATGCGGCGAGGCGCCTGGTGCGGGCGGCGCTCCGGTCGGTCATATTGATCGTACAGTGCGTATAGTAGTGGACGCGTGTACTAGTGGCGGGCGTATCCTCTCTTTCCGACCCGGCGGCTTTGCGTCTGTCTGTGCGTTTGTGTGCGCGCGCTCTCTGCTCGCGAGTGTGTGTCTGTGTGCTGGTCGTCGTCCGCGCCTGGTGCCTGCGTTCTGCTTGCGTTCTGATCGCGCCACGCCGGATTTCACGTATTTCCGCCCCAACCAAAATTTATACATTTATTTCGGTTTCAATACAAAAAAAAAAATATCTATTAAATTTTCCAAAAAAAAAAAATTTATTCTACACAATTTTTTTGCTGTTTCATTTCGCTCCGCTCCAGCGCCGGCAGAAATTCTACCATTGTGCTCTGACCAACCAAAGATACCCGGTGCACAATATTCACGTGATAGACGCCCATCATCGCCGGTACAGTTGCCGGTGAGACGACGGCCGCCCCTCACAGTGCAACCGGGGAACGCACCGAAGTGATGGTGAACGGTAACTACCGTTAACGAAAACGACACACCGTCGCCTTGTCGACCCAAAGACGCCTGCAGTCCGTACCAACAGGTTTCCGGTAAGTGAGGTTTTTTTCCTATTCATTTTCGTTAAGTGTTCTGTTTGTACTTACCGGGCCGTATACGATGTGAACGTTCTAGTTTTGAAGCGTCAGGGTGCCGGCACGTCGGGCTAAAGCCGGATAACGGTCGTGCCGGCAAGAGACGCCCCGGTCGCGTCTGCCTAAGGTTTGGCATCTACCTTCTCTTGTGGCACGGTGCCAGCAGGGCGGCCTGGCGTCGTCCTGGCAGGATAAACGAAACACACCGCACGCACTCGTTAATAGAGGCACAAAAATATATTAAAAAAAATAATAAAAATTCTACTTTGAGGCTATTCAGCTAAAGAAAACATTCGATGTGGCCAAACACTATATCCAGAACAAAGATACCACGACAAACACACTGTCTATTACAATGAATACCATTCTCCGGACATTTTAAATTCCTAATATGAAACTCATCGGTTACCAGTGTATTAAATTAAAAACAAAATAATAACCATGTTGACTTTAGACGAACGAAAACGATAGTTATCATAGATGTAGAAGAAAATTGCGAGATTTTTTATTTTTTGTATAAAAGTTACTCGTTAAAAATATATTTATTTTATGTAAATGTTGTAATCATAGAAATATTACCGTTAATGAAGAAGCTTTGGACGAAATATCATTAAAAATTAACATTCATATTATGATATATTTAATTAATAAGTGTGAGGTAATGTATATTTTTATCTAACAAACATGTTTTGTTAAAAAACAAACTTTTGAAAATGTGCCTAAAATTAATTTTGTTTCATTGAAAATTAAATCAAACTATATAATAAAACAACAGTTAGCAGACATAAAGCTTATCACGATGCAATTTTTTTAGTCTGGTCATAAGGGCTTAGAGGGCAACACATTTTTTTTGCACATCACACTCTTTAGTATTCTGACTGCCTAGTGTCTACATGTAGACGGGTTTTTGGTTTTTTTGACCTGGCGCTTCACATAGGCAATCTTACTACATTCATGTCTTGTGGCACCAATAACTGTCACATTCGTACTACAAATAGTGTCGCATTATCATAATATACCAGAAGAAAACACTAGTAATGGGGACATAAGTTCAAATACACAACGGCTTGGTAGTCTAAGCCTTTTAGGACATATTGTCTTAAAACACTTCACCTACGTCAATTTAGTTTTTTTGCGGGGGGGGGGGGCTTAAAGGAGTTTTGTGAGTTAAGGACTCTAAGTCCCATATTTGTGAAAATCCCAAAATGGAGACTTTTTAAACCGACCACAAAATAAAAAACTTGTAAATCATGTATAATAAATTCGTTGGGTCTATTTAATAGATTTGCGATACAAAAAATATATAACAAGTTTAACAACAGCCAACGGGTAATAAAACGATTAAAATATGTTGCAATAATTATTCAATTCTTTAAAATTTTTCTTTAGTGGTAACTATTTTATCCTTCCACCACAAGATAATTGAGGACTCAATTGATTTTCCTACCTTTCTTACCAATTACTCTTCGAATATACCGATTATTAGGATAATGACTATGATTGTTAAATATTAGGCATATGAAATATGAGCATCCGTCGTTTATACAAAAAGAGAATCAAATAATAATTAACATTTTTTTTTTAAATTTCTATTTAGCGCTATATTTTTATAAATATATTTTTTTTCTTTATGTTGAGACAAACGTCTTTGACAATTTTTGTGTATTATATTATTTGCTTTGCTTTAGGTATTATTGCCAGTTTGTATTAAAGTAAAGTAAAATACTCCCCGATAATTTTTTAGAAGTAAACGGTTCGTCTTTATCAACTGTATTTAATTATAAATCAACACAATATTTACATCAGTCACACTTAGTGTTGTTAAAAATAGGGTATTTTTTTATCTTACTTCATTTAACGTAGCTACATTATTTTTTTAAAATTAATAATTGTATTTTTTTATTTTTACTTTTAAATATGTTTTGTTGTAAGTTAAAATAAGCAAGGTTTAAAATAGTAAAAAAAAAAATGTTAAATAAAATAAAATACCGTATTTTAACATCAATAGTCCTGCTTTTTACACACATAAATTACAAGAAGTCCAACGCCGGTTTTTTTTAAATTGCATTAAAGCTGTTGCCTTGGCGCTAGCACACACGTTTTTAAAACTACTAAAGAACATCAGCTCGAGATCTCAAGCTAAAGCTAGAAATGTAGAATGACATGGATTCTTAAATGGAATATGTATATATTATTATTTAACTAACTTTTTAAATGAAGAATAATTTTTTGAAAATTTTGACTGGTGGATAACAATTTTTGAATAAATAGTTTTAAAATTATTAAAGTTTAAAATTTAGGGCGGTAGGAAAGGTGGTAGAGAGTAGTGTTATTTTTATCTGCATAAATTTATTAACCGCACTCCACCTCTCGTCCTAAGTTTTAAACTTTAATAACTTTAAAACCATTTATTAAAAACTGGTTTCGACCAGTCAACCATTTTCAGCAAATTAATCTTAATTTTAAATAGTATTTAAGTATGATATAAGTTACCATTTAAATGTTGAAAGTGTAGAGTCGACGGAGCTCTGGAAGAAAATAAAAAAGATAAAAATTTGAATGTTGTTTAATATTGTAAAACCACATACACTAGTGTCTCCAAAACGAAAAACTATATAGTTTAAAATATTTTAAGAGAAATTGGGTGTCTTATCCTTAATGAATCACTCTGTATAGAGAATTGAGAGCGTTCTAAATAAAAATGACCTGGTAGATCTAAATCACGAATTTATTGCACCACGTTATCTGATTATCACGTTATTTTCTATTTACTCAGAGTCGAACATTCCTCGTTTGGGAGAAAAAAGAGAACGAAGTGCGGTCAAAAGCAAAAATTCAGTAAAATATGTATTTTTTCTCCGATCCACGGAAAACATTTAATTGTGGATACATTTTTAGCCTTACGGGTCCGTACAACCCCAGCGATTAAATCTTTTAACATGATAATTATGACACATAAGGAAATGATTAAATTTAGTTAAAGCTAACATTACTCTCTATTGCGAATAACAGAAATGCAATATAACGCCGGATTTAATGAAATCGAGTAAACGAGTAAATCATTCGATACAAGAATAGAACACAAAATAAATATAGCATAAAACATTTCATCGTGTTGTTTATTATTATTATTTGTTATTTTGTAAACATAGTAACATGGATACGTGTTTAGCGTGACGCGTCACTAAAAAATCTCACAAATTTTTATTGGTCAACCTGCTAGCCTGAAAACATTATCATGTTGTAAAGTTCATTTTATTCCGAGGGGATGATATGCTGATGCTTGTCGAACATGGTTGAATAAATATTTTAACGAGGGTCAATGGGCGGACGGGTACAATGTACAAATCATCATCATAAACTCAGTCCCCAGAGGGTCGAAACTTTCACGCATTTTGACGGATAGTTGTGTATTATTATATACCTATGATGGGTTTACTTTTTAAGTATTCTGTCCTAAGTACTAGTGTGTTGTTGTGTTGACGTTTTTGTTTTTACATCAATGTATTTGTATTAGCTTCGATGTGGACCTTGGAAGGTATTACATTTATTACAGGCATATGTATTTTTTTTTATAATTTATAATATTTTGTTTGCACGACGAAGTTTAAAAGTATACATGGGAAATATAAACAGTTGGTCATAATAATTATTGATACTAGTTTCATAAAACAACATATCGCATCTATCCACTACAATAATGATATTTTTTTGTAAAAAAAGTATTTTTAATAATTAATCAAATTTGAAGAAAAAAAACAATATTAACTTTCATCTTAATAAAAAGATATCGAACTGAGTTTGAAGAGGTCACCGGTTATTATTAAGTGAACCCAAAAAGTTATTAGCTGTAATTAGATTCACATCGGAGCTGTTTTCGATTGTATTTTAAAACTCATCGTGGTAAATTCTTGACTTTGATGAGATTTCAAATGAAAAATGGAAATGTTGAGTTTTTTAAGAAGGAAATGTAGTTATAAAGGTTTTTTAACATAAAATAGTACGACTGTGAGTATGATTAACCGAATTAGTAATTTTGGTTCTGAAAGTTTATCAAGGTATAGTGTTCCTGTAACACATTTAATTTTGACAGTTTATGCTACTTTATAGAGTTTTTATTGTATATATCTACAAGTTTTAGATTGAACGAATGTCTAGTGATATATTTTAACGGTAACAGCAATCATGGTATCATTGAGTTATCATGTTTAAAAAAAACAATTTTTATTTTTCCAAGGCGCTACTACCTAATAGTGTTAATACTGTAATAATTATTACATATCGATACCTTAAAGAACACAAGTGCTATGTCCATTTTTTTCAATATCGTGATATTAGAATCCATGAATTCGTAATACAAAACTGAATCGAATGAACACTAGTGCTATTTCCAAAGAGCATTAATATAGGTAACGTTTAATTACAAATAACCGTAAAATTCTATGTGCTTTGTAACGCAAATAACAAAAGTTCTTTTTGCAATTACTCAAAACCGTATAAAGTGGAGATGGCACTTGTGTGCTTTAAAGTATCGATATATAGTATGTTGTCACTAATAGTTTATACACAGAAGCTAATTTCAGTTGAAGAAAAGCATAGTGGTTTCTCAAGCGACAGACAACTTAGCTATATAGCGGTAATAGTGCCGGTAACGGTAGACGTTATGTCAAGTGGCAAGTGTAATAATAATATGTGTTTTAATAAAACAACGCCACAAACGTAATATATATATATATCAATTATCTTACATATCATAACGATTATATATGGGATTGTGTACAAATAGTATTAGTATATAAACATGGAAAACGTTATTATTTTTTTTAATAGGTCACATCGAAGGTAAATCTTGCTTTGGGCTCTTACTACCTTCCCCCAAAGTCTTATGGCTGTATTTGAATTGTGCGTGTCGGTTAATATGACAAACGGGGCTCGCTAGGGTGGGAGCGGGGGCTGCT